GACAATACCAATGACGGCAAGAATGTGGGGTAACAGGAACTCTCACTGATCACCAGTGGTTATACAAAATGGTATGGCTACTTTGGAAGATGGTTTGGCAGCTTCTTACAAATCTAAACATAGTTTAAACATACAATTCAGCAATCATACCCCTAGATACCTACCCAACTGAGCTGAAAACTTTTATCTACATGACAACCTGCATTCACATTCCTATAGCAGCTTTATTCATGACTTCCAAAAACTGGAAGGAATCAAGATGTCCTTCAATACATGAATGAATGGACAAACAGACAGGTGCATCCATACGGTTGGAGCAGTATTAAGCAATAAAAATAAACGAGCCATCAAGCCACAAAAAGACATGGAGGAACCTTAATTGCATATCGCTAAGTGAAAGAAACCAATCTGAAAAGGCTACATACTGTATGATTCCAATTATAAGACATTCCAGAACTGAAAAAACTTTAGCAACAATAAAAATATCAGTGGTTGCCAGGATTTTAGGGAGAGATTTTTAGGGCAGTGAAACTATTCTGCATGATTTTGTAATGGAAGACACATGTCACTATGCATTTGTCAAAACCCACAGAAGTGTACAACAAAACGAGTGTCCTTAATGAAACTATGCACCTTAGTTAATAATGCATCAACACGGGTTCATTAATTGTAGTATACACTCCACACTAATGCAAGATGTTGATGACTGGGGAAAATGTCCAGAGTGGGGTGTGGGTATATGCAACTCTCTGTGCTACTCAATTTTTCTATAAATCTAAAACTGTACTAAAAAACAGACTAGAAAAAAGTCTATAATAACTAAAAAATGCAGGCTATAAGATATGATGCCATTTTTGTGATTCTATGTGTTTATGTGCACAAAAGTAAGTCTGAAAGTTCATAACTAGAACAGTTATTTTTTAAAAATCTCTTGACTTATGTATCTTACTACTGGTATTACTCAGCCATGGAGAAAGAAAAATAAAGAAAATAAGAGGAAGGAGATGATCTGGAAAACATTAGGGGTTTGGTTTTAAGAGTGGATCCCCCAAAGGCAAAGATAAAAGCTGTCAAACATTGACAAGCTCTGCTAGTTTCAGAGGGCAGACTTACCAACATAATGACCATCCCATGAACATTTTTTCATCATGGCACTTGAAAAGTAATATTTTGGGGATGATTTTCTTTTTTTGGAATAACTTTTTTGCCCATTCTAAATTTAGAGACTATAAAGAGTGACACTGGGACAGTATGGTCTTAGGCATGCACTCCAATTTAACTGACACAGGTTTCTAGTCAGAGTACATCATATCGAACAAAATCTGAACTGCATGCCATATCTGGATGAACACAGAATGTTCGGGTCTCCACATGTATCCCAAGTGAGAGGTATGCAGGAAGATACAGGATCTTTTGTGATTCTTTCTGCTGTGCACACACCCTAATTTCCCCAATTTTGAAGCACTCTCATGTTTAGACTTCATTTAATTCTAAACACGTCTATCTGTGTTACAAAGTTATTTTTTAAGTACAATTTGAGTGCAAAATAACCACGAGCTGATCTGAACTCCCTCTAGCGACAGACTGCTCTACTGAATATACAGCTTTTGCAAATGAGAAGATAAAGGAAGTTCTGTGTCAGTTTTGTGTTCTGGAAAATTGCACCATGTCCTAAAAAATTCTCGGGAGATTATCTGAGAAACTAGAAACACGTCAAATACAGCAGAGGGCAAATCGCACAGATAGATGGCAGACTACCATGATCTACTATGATCACACAGCAGGTTCGTGGGTGAACTATGTATCATTCAAAGAAATTACAGACAGCTTGAATGAATTTTAAGGAGTGTATAATGCTGAATAATATAAAAATTAAGGAAGAAGCAGCACCCACTAATTCCTAAGGAAAAGAAAATTATGAAGTATGGCTAATTCTAACACTGAATGCCTGGGTGAAAGTCCAACCCTGGCCTCTCCACCAAGTGACTCCCCAGAACTTTATCACCAACCATGACACACAATTCAGTCTTGTTAGGCTTCTAACCTTCTCACATTACATTTTATGTAGAACGTGTATGTATAAATTCGTTTTCATTTTTCAACTGATACATCTGGATCCTCACAAGCATTTTTCCCACTGTCCTTGGTTCTTTACAAATACTGATTCACTTAATCCTCACACTAATCCAATGAATGGGGTACTAGCATTACCCCCATTTAACAGAGGAGGAAATGGTACAGAGACACTGAGTAACTTGCCCAAGGCCACACCGCCAGGTGAGTGGTGGTCAGGATTCAAAGCCGGGCAGTTTGGCACCACTCCATCGGGTACACTACAGGCTGCTGCCTCACGTTTAAAAGTAAATATCTGCTATGTCAGCCTCAGATGATGGCCTCTCTTCTCTCTCCTGAAATGCCATCTCTCCCCCTTTTCAGTGTCCATAGTTCAACTTACAGCCTACTGGTTTCCTATTATAAAATAGTTCCATTTTAGATAATGTGGAAAACTAGGAAATAGAAATGTATTTCCCCCTGATTTGAGATAGAAAAATCACTCTTTCCCACCCCCAAATTTCTTATTTCCATTTTCTTAAATACTACTTTAAAAAAGTTTAATTTCCAAAAATTTAGGGTATTTTACTGACACCCTGAACAATTAAAACAACTTCACTGTAAGTTTAATTAAGCCTAATGTTTAGTTAATGTTGGTATGCTAACCTCCCTGAAACCAAAACTATAACAACAAATTGCATTTTAAAAAGCTTTCAATAACCAAAACACAACCAAGGAAATGCCTCTTTCTGGTTCTGCAAAGACAAAAGTATAATGTATTTCCCTTCCAAATTAATTCTGTGGCATGTGAAACATTAAGATGGCTTTAGTTTCTGAATTTAAAAGGCAATTATAGGGAGTGGAAGGGAAAAGGCAGAAGAGGCAGGAAAGACAGCAGGCACCTAGAGTGATGGAATGTATGAAAAGGAAGAGGACCAAGTATGCCTTGCAAGGTGGAAACTGACGTTTGATGAATATTCATAACCTAACAATTTAAAACCAACACTCCAAAGAGAGTAAGGTCAGGACTTCGACATTTATTTGCTGACTGAGGTTCAAGTCCCACCCCAAGCAGTAGTTGTCTCAGACCCAGCAAGCGCTTAAATGCTTCTTTACTAAAAGATCTTCAAAAGATCTTACAGGTTTTTTAAAAGTTATTTTTACAATTTTATGTAATGTATTTTGTCCTCATTTCAGAAACTGTCCATTTTTAAAGATCAACTTGGATAACTTAAAGTTCTAAAAATATTTACAGATAACATTAATGCACAGCAAGATGGGAAGGAAGGAAGGAAAGAGAGGTGATGTTTGCAGAGCACCACTGCATGTGAGGAAGTGTCCCACAAAGGTTACCAGGATCATGTCGATTTGTTCACCACGTTCTAGCACCTTCCACAGTGCCAACTTGGCGCAGGGCAAGCACCCAACAAATGTGCGCTGAGTGATTAAGAAATGGGACAACCTATACCAGTGAGACTCCAACTAAGGTGACTTCTTACTTCCCATGAATACTCTTTCAATATTAGGAGAAAGAAACTCTGAATTCCAAGGCAAATCCACTAACATTTGTATGTAGGTTTTTCACATCAGATTTAATTACTTCATTAAGCTGAAAATCTTTTATTGTTATAAACTTTTTGCTTAATGAACACATACCTATTTTAATTAATGCTTTATAGTCCCTTCTCATAAATTAGGTACAAAAATCTAGTTTAGTGGGGTGGCTCCTTAGAATTCTCCTTTACTGTGAAACCGGGGAAGTGCTACAGTCTATAGCTAACCCTTTAGCACTGTATCTGAAATCCTTCCAGACTCTGTCTAGCTTCATCACATCTCCTCCTATTACAGGGTACCATACAAACCAACGTTTGTCTGCCTATTCCTAGGCCTTCTAAGATGCTTTTTCTGGGGGGTGGGGGGAAACCAATGTTTAAAATCCCTAAAACTTGCATGGCAGTGAACAGATGACGCATAGAAGTCCATCTATCTCCTCCTCCTCGGGGCATTGGGACGATGTCATGACCTTGCAGGGTTACTGATTCAGCACAACGGTTTCGAGATAGTGCAAGGTCTCTTCCCCTTCCTCACCAACAGATATTTAAGGTCCCCTCTGCAACCCACGAGGGCACTTATTTTATTCACTTGGGCCCAGCAAAGCGCCTGCTACAAGGTCACTGCTTAGTTCGCGTTGTGCGTTACTGCGCTCTGCACCGGAGAGTTTCAAAAGGCGTCAAGGACAAAAAGCACACCTTAACCTTCCGCTGGACCTTTCCTGGGGCCCTCCCTTCTCCCACTTTGAGGGCCCGGGTAAGGCCTCCCAGAGGCTCGCCGCCTGGCGCGCAGCAGAGGCTCCCTAAGCATTTACTTAGTAGCTGAGAGGATCCAAGACTACCCTGAAATTAACTGGGCCCAAGGCCCCACTCTCGAGGACCCAGATAAGCACTCCTCGTGGCCCTCCCCCCGCCCTAGCCCGCCTCCGGAGACTTGGCGCGCCCTTCCCGGTTCCGAGCGCTTCCTGCAGCCCGGGCTCCGGGGCCTCTGCGGGACCCCGGCCTGGTCGGCCCTGCGACCCCGGGTCCGTCCCACTCGCCTCCACCCGCTTCCCCTGCCCCCTGCCTGAGCCCCTCCATCCGCCGCAACCCTCCCGTTCCCCCCGCGAGCTGCCATTACCATTGCGGCTGCACGGCCCAGGCCGACAGCCCTGCTAGGCCCACCGGAGAAAACATGGTGATTCCGGCCCTGCTGAAGGTCGGTCAGACAGGCCTCACCGCGCCTGCGCAGAAGCTCCCCACACGCCCCGCCCACCCCGTGGTCTCATTCAGTCTCGCTTCTTCACGCAGGATGGAACGAAGCCTCGCGAGCGTTGGGGGGGGTGGTGCCCAGGCTTCCGAAGCCCCACCTCCTTCAGACTAGCCGAGAGTATTTGTCCTGCCCACCCCCGCCAGCCCTGTTCCGCTTCCGGTCAACCAGGCTCTGGGTTGCGGAAAGTTGTTGCTGCGGAGGGCGCGATGGGGAAATCAGATTTTCTTACCCCTAAGGCCATCGCCAACAGGATCAAGTCCAAGGGGCTTCAGAAGTTGCGCTGGTATTGCCAGATGTGCCAGAAGCAGTGCCGGGACGAGGTAAGTGGGCCCGGGGCGGCCCCGTGTCCACCCCCTCCTCTCCCCGGAGGGACCCCGCTGGAGATGCAGGCTGAGGTCCCCGACGCCGGGGTGAGGGCCTGGGTCTCCAGTCCCTAGTCGTGGGGACTGCGCAGGGTGAGTGAAGGACTCAACTCAGTAGGGCCGTCCTTCCCTTCAGCCCCCGTCCTGGCGGGGAACCAGTGGCCTTTGACACCTCCTTGTTTCCCAGTCTAACCCCAAAAAAGAAGTGAAGTAAGAAAAGGTTTTGCAGCCCTCGCAGAAGTGACCCCACTCAAGTCGTCAAGAAACGGGGGGTGAACAGTGCCGAGCCGGACGCCCGGGAGTGACAGTAACAGACGTCTCGGACTTGACGTGGCTCTTAGACATGATCAGGGTGTACGCCTCTTTTCGGGATCAGATGAAAAAGGAGAACTAAGCTCTTGCACACTAGTCACCTAACAAGCATTTATCGAGCACCTGCCATGTGCCAGGACTAAGATGTTATTGCGAGTGAGATGTGGCCTCTGGAGTCAGAATCAGAATTAGGAAGCCGACAAGTCACATTGTCTCTGCCTGTTTACTTATCTGAAAAGTGAGAATAGTAAGTGTCCCTACTTGTAGGATTGTTGTGAGTTTTAAATGAGTGAATTATGTGTAAGGTGGCTCAAGGGGTCTTTGAGCAGATCTTGAAAAAACTTCGCTGTGCTGTGGAGTTTACATTTTTCCCCATTATTTAGATGGATGATGAAGCACCTGGAAAAATTGAGAGCAGGCTAGTGACAGGATCACGTTTTTCTCTGGAGATTGAATTGGGTAGGAAAGGAAGAGCACTGGGCACTTGGAATAATCTAATCCAGTGTTTCTGCAAGTGAGGGATGAGATACTTTAGGTGGGCCTCACGTTGAATAACATCGATACAGTTATTCTCTTTCATTTCTCTTTACTACTAGTCAAGGTAAAATTCTTACACAGAAAACTAGAGACTAGTACCGGGAACATCCATATATCCACTACCCAGATTTAACGCTCTAAGTTTCACTTAACATTTTAAATACTTTGCCATGTTTCCTTTTCTCTGAAATATGTAAAGTAAATTACAAGCATCAGGGTATTTCACCTATAAATATTTAAATACGCTCCTCTAAAATATTAGGATATTTTTCTATATAGCCACAATATATGTCATCACATGTAACAAAATTAATAAATATTTCTTCATATCATCTGGTGCATATTCCATAGTCACATTTTCTCAATTGTTCCCATAAATGCTTTTTAAACAGTTTTTTTAGCATGGGGAACTATATTCAATATCCTGTGATAAACCATGATGGAAAAGAATATGAAAAAATTATATATGTATATATAAATACATATAAGTACATATAAATACATATATATATGTATATATAAAAAGCTGAATCACTTTGCTGTACAGCAGGAATTAACACAACATTGTAAATCAACTATACCTGAATAAAATAAAGTAAAAACAAACAAACAAAAAAACCCAGATCCAGTCAAAAGCTATACATTGGATTTGGTTATTTGAACTTTTTAAAAAATAGACTATTTTTTAGAGCAGTTTCAGGTTCACAGCAAAAATGAGCAGAAGGTACAGAGATTTCTCGTACCCACCCTGCCCTCAACATGTACAGCCTCCCCAACCATCAGCCTGGTGCAACAGAATGGTACTTTTGTTACAATCAATAACACTACATTGGCACATCATTAGCACCAAAGTCCATAGTTCGTATTAAGGTTCACTCTAGGTGTTGAACATTCTGGGGCTTTGGACAAATGTATCATGACAAATATCCACCATTATAGTATCATACAGAATAGTTGCATTGCCCTAAAAATCTCTGTGGTGTCGGGTGTTAGGACTTTTAATTCTCTCTCAATTTTAAATTTAAAATAGAATTCCCTCCCTTCCCCTCAGTTGTTTTTCTTGATATTGACTTGAAGAGGCTAGGCCAGTAATGATCCTAGAGGATTCCCCCTGTAACAATTAACTTTTCTTGTGGTTGTCGTTCGTCTTCTTTCTCTAACTCTTGTAGTTTTTGTAAACTGGAACTTAGGTCTGAAGGCTTGATTAGGTTCAGGTTAAATATTTGGGAGCAGAATCCTTGATAGGTGACCCTGTGTATATCACATTGCATCAAATAAGGAAGCCCATGATGTCTGGTAGTGCTAAGAAAATTGAGTACAGTTGACAGCCTGTAAAGTAATGTTGGAAAGTAATATTTTCCCCTTTGCAAGAGCAAGTACCTCTGGGGGAACTGGTAACAAATACTAGTGGAGTGTGGAATCGTGCCTATAGCTCCAATTTCCCATCAGCCTTTTACTCATGTGTTTTAACATCTTTGCTTGAGTCACTTATTTCATTAGAAGTTGAAAAGTGGTTATTTTTCTAGTTCTTTTTACATTTATTGTTGACCACCATTCTTTTGAAAAAATGAGCTTTTTCTCATTAACTAGGGTTATTTGGTTATCCTCAAATGTTATCCTAAAATAGAATTCCTCAGGGAAAGAGAAGACACGTTTGATTCTCTCTTTTAATTACTACTTTTCAGAGTAAGACACTTGGGGTGATTCTGACCTGTTTGCCCTCACATCTGTTCATTGCCCTTCCCTGCCTAGGGGAGGAGAAGCTGACCCCTACAAGCCCCCTCCCCTGTCTCTGTCTCTAATACCGGAAGAATGAGGGGGAGGGAGGTCAGATCCGGAGTATTCCCCTCCTGCCCATCCACTCCCTTGAGTTTCTAGAATTTAATAACATTATTTTGCTTTCATCTTACTGATTTATTTGTAATTTATTGGAAGTGGTGCTGGTTTTTCGTTTATGAGACTGATATCAAGTCTCCTTTTAAGACGCAGTTAAGGAAGAGTAATGCATAGGTAGGGCACAGAAGAGGCAAGAATTGTGTAGGCATCTGTGGATGACTGAAGATTAGGAAACTGCTCTAAGCAAGATTGAGTGTTGAAATCAGGGCAGTGGCAATAGGATTGAGCCGAGGGACTGGGTAAGTTATTAGGTCGGCGGAGTAGACGTAGTGCTGGGTGGAGGTAGAGGACTCTGGGATGCTGTCCTGGGTCCTGGCCGGGTGACGGTACAGGACAGTGCTGTTCACCAAGATGGGGGAGACAGAGGAGAGGCACATTTTTCATTTCTCTTACTAGTGGAGAATCAGGTTCAAATGTTAAGTAGAATAGACACAAAGTCAAAACTTGCATGTTTTTTACAATCATCTGAAGAAGATACAGATTTAGTATGATAAAATAAGGTTTATGTATAAAATGCAAGTGTATTTTGGGTAATGAGCTAAAGTATAGGAAAGTGAGTGAAAATAGTTTCCTTAATGGAAATTCACTAATGACCCATTTTACCTTGTTGTAGTCCTCGAAACGCTTGCATAACACTTTGTATGAAGTAGGTGCCCAATAGGAATTTGTTAAATTGAGTCAAAAAATAAAATCGCTCTTCTGTTACTGTGCCCTGTAATGTTTGTTACTAATGTCTGTTTTCTAAAGCAGTATTTTTCTGTCTCTTTAATCTTCAGGGATTCTTTGATTAGCACGGTTGCAAAACTCAACTTTATAAAAAAAATTTTTTAGAACGATAGGGTGCCTACAGCCAGTGACTTGATTATTTTTTACAATTTATCATCGAAGAGCAGCTTTTTAGGATTTAATTAAATACTTATATTTAGGGCCTATTATAATGAGCTAAATCAAGATTTAACCACTACCTTTACATTTTTGTAGAATGGCTTTAAGTGTCATTGTATGTCCGAATCTCATCAGAGACAACTGTTGCTGGCTTCAGAAAATCCTCAGCAGTTTATGGATTATTTTTCAGAGTAAGTAACTCAAAGCCATCCTTATATCATAAGCTTTATTCAGTTGGACATTTAATAGATGCTTAATATTTAATATATTGGAAGCTCTGTTTATTCCTTACGTATTAATGTGATAGCTGTATTATCTTTGTGCTCAGTTTTTGTTTTGACAGTTTATCATTGTGTGGAATTGTTAAAAAAGTGTGTCTCACAAATCAGTCTTTCTTCCATTCACTTCAAACATATGAAAAACCATTGCTCAGTCTAAAACAATTGTGGCTAAGAGCACACGTCTGGAGTCAGACTGCTTGTCATTAAGTCCTTCAGAGCTGGGCTTCTCCACTCAGGAGCTGTGTGACTTTGGGTGAACTTATACAGTTTCTCTGTGCTTTAGTCCCCTCATCTGTAGGTTTTGTACCTTTCAAGTATTGTCTTTCCTTCATAGGGTTTATGCGAAGATTAAATGAGTTAATACTTTGAAAGTGTTTAGAAGAGTGGTCAGTACTCGATTAATATTAGCTGTTAATTATTATTATTACAATTAATATTTAGTCTTGCCTCCATCCCTTTCTTTCTTTCCAGGGTTTTAGACCTTTTGGTATTAAACCCCAAAGACTTTTGTTTATGTGGGTTATAGCTTGTAAATTAGGGATTAAAACTGAGACATTAAAAAAAATTTATTCATTTAAAATCACAATATAAGCCTATTACAGTTAAAATAACATTTTTACATGAAAATTAACTATATTTTCCAACACACAAAAAGCACACAAAAAAATAAGAGTGGTGGTGTTTTACATTTTTGCAAATCTCTTCAGTGTCTGTCTTCATAGAACACAGTTGTATTCTCACATCTGCTTCTACCTTCATTCTCTTCTGAAATGTTGCTTGGTTGAAATACATAGAGAAAGTCCAGCTTTTACATAGATGTGTAGTTGGAAGCAGGAGGAGTATTTTAATAGCCTTTTCACATAATTTTGGCTATTCTTCTATGATACTACATTGAAACACAATGGCGTGGTAGTTTCTTAAAGATTAGTTGCAATGTGGAATCAGAAACCATATAGCAAACCTTTTCTTTTTTTTTTTTGCGATACTCGGGCTTCCCACTGTTGTGACCTCTCCCGTTGCGGAGCACAGGCTCCGGACGCGCAGGCCCAGCGGCCATGGCTCACGGGCCCAGCCGCTCCACGGCATGTGGGATCTTCCCGGACCGGGGCACGAACCCGTGTCCCCTGTATTGGCAGGCGGACTCCCAACCATTGTGCCACCAGGGAAGCCCCTAGCAAACCTTTTGTACTCTATGACGTTAAAATCCATGTGATCTTTTACTTGAAGTGGATCTTGTACCCATGTATGGTTTTGTAACATCACACATCAGTCATTTGGAAAATATTGCTTCATTGAGTTACACAGGTATTCTGAAATTCTGAACGGTGATACATTTTATTATGCAATATCATAAAATCATATTCACTAATGTCAACTCAGTGCTGTCAGAAACATCTTTAAGTATTGGGAAGTATGTCAGACTCATGGTGGCGGATGCTAGTTTACCAGAATTCACATTTTTTGCTTGAAAGCTCAAATTTTATCATTGGCAACAAATACTGTCAGTTGTTTTTCTTGACCTGACAGGCTCACTTGGTTTATTTTTGAGAAAATATCTACTGAATACTTAATTTGAAATAACTATTGTCTATATGTCTGTCATTTCTCAAATATCAAGTGATACTTTCATGTCTCTGTGCCAGATGGGAACATCCTTCTCTTTCTCTTCACCTGTAAACGTCTTGGTCAGAATGTATATCTTATTCACCTATGTTTATCTGTCACTTAACATAGTGTGCTCAGCTCAGAGGGACACATTAAGTGCCAACTTCATGTTTTATTATCAATAGAATGGGATAATTATGCCACATTCAGTAGCACTGAGACTCCATGAAGAATCCGCTCCAAACATGTGTGGTCACTTTTGCTGTGCCACCTTTACCAAGACAAAAAGTTCCAACTCCAACTTGACTTTTAACTTTAATTCTTGAAAGCTGTAATCTTTCAGGATTTTTCCCTTGTTCAGTTTTTAAAAGTTCGGAACAGATATTAATGTAGATGTTTTATATATCATGTGCTCATGCAAACTGTATGATGGCTTAAATTTCAGGAAGGTGATGCTATGTATTTGTAGAAATCACCTTAATGCTTTCCCTCCCTGCTTTATTAGGGAATTCCGAAATGACTTCCTAGAACTTCTCAGGAGACGCTTTGGTAAGTATCTTAAGTCTTGTGCACATAATGACTTTATAATCTCATAATCTGCTCAGGGTCAGCAGTGTCCTAATTTCTTCTTAGGAACCAAGAGGGTTCACAACAACATCGTTTACAATGAGTACATCAGCCACCGAGAGCATATCCACATGAACGCCACGCAGTGGGAGACGCTGACAGATTTTACTAAGTGGCTGGGCAGAGAAGGTAAGAACAAGACATGATGTGAACAGTTGTTATATGGCTTCACTGCAGGGAGGGAGAGAATGATCATATTTTCTGTGTAAATTTATGAAAAAGAGGATGAGTAGGGCAATTAGAAACTGGCAGAGAGGAGCATAATCTTCCAGGATTGATATTGTGCGCTGCAGGTGTGTAAGAGCGTCTGGAGTGATCCTTTTCAACAGTGCAAAGGTACATCACTGAAGCATCCACTCGTTAGGTTAAGGACCAGTACCCATCCTCTTCCACTTTTCCCACTACATTCGTTGCACTTTTGGAAACTTGTTACCCCTTCTTAAGGCAGTTTTTAAATTTGCTGCCTCTTTTTCCATTTCTAATAGGATGGAAAGTTCAGGAAAAGAACAGAGAAAGAAATTTTGTATCAGGGTATTAGTTATTGAGTGTGTTTCTTTATTCCATTTTGGGGAAGATTTCTGCTTGGTTAAGTTAGAATATCCTGTACTCAGTGGATGTTAAGTACTTAGTTGAATAATTGCTAAGCAAGATAATGCTTTTTTTTAATGTTTTCCTTGTTTAAATGTGTTGCCTCAACCTAGTCAAAAATCAAAATAATATTTCTTTTCTCTTTAAAGAGATAAAATATTCCAATTAAAGTCTAAATGCCACTAACTGTAAATATGGAAAATTCACGTGCTGTATGAATTTGTGTATTTGAATGTGTTTGAATGAGTGTATTTGAATGAATGAGTAAATACTGCAGAGAGAGACCACATTTATATGTACTTTCAGCTTTGATTGTATTCAAAATTATAGTGTCCGTTACTGTTTTTTTTTTTTTTTTTAAATCCATTACTTTTTTTAAGGCTTGTGCAAAGTGGACGAAACACCAAAAGGCTGGTATATTCAGTATATAGATAGGGACCCTGAGACGATCCGCCGGCAGCTGGAACTAGAGAAGAAGAAGAAGCAGGACCTTGATGATGAAGAAAAAACTGCCAAATTTATTCAAGAACAAGTGAGAAGAGGTCTGGAGGGGAGAGAGCAGGTGGGCATCATCAAGAGAGGCAATAGACAAAGGTCTGAAGAAGCAAAATCGCTTGTTTGTTTAAGCCTTGAACGAGTTTTGTAGGAGAAAGGGCATAGCCAAGTATAAAAGTCCAGGCTGTGGAGTTGAGACAAACCTGGGTCCATTCCTGACTTACTGACTTCACAAGTTTGTGTAATTATGGAATCTTCTAAACCTCAGTTTTCTCATCTCTAAAATAGAGTCAGTACCTAGTGGCAAAGACATAAACAGAGCGTTTCAACTGATTATAATTAATGCAGCGCTGGGGATGAACACAGTGTGTGAGAACACAGAGGGCTGGCACTTGCTCCAGCCTGGGGAGGACCTAGAATATTTGGAGGTAGCTACATCCCCTAGGCTGAGGAGTCTTGAGGAATTAATGGGTAAAATCCAGGTAGATGGGGAAGGGAAAGCATGATAAAGTTGGTTCAGGTGTTAGAATAACTAGATCAAGGCATTTATTCCAACAGACATTTATTGGTCACCTCCTGTGTGCCAGGCGTTCTTCTAGGCACTGGGGATACAGCCAGTGGACCAAAGATAAAAATCCCTGCCCTCAAGGAGCTTACATACTAGAAGTTGTGTGTGAGCAGGAAAATACAGCCTAGTGTGTATATGTGAAACTACTAGCCATTTAGTATTTTTAAAAACTTTTTATTGTGGTGTAGCACACATGAAGTGAAGTGGATGATGTGCATTAATCTTAAGGTTACAGCTCGATGAACTTTCACATATGTATGTGTCTTTAGATGGATGGATGGATGGAGCAATAGATAGGTAGTCCATGTGGCCACCACTCAGATCAAGATATGGAACATTTCTAGTATCCTAGAAGGTTCCCTCATGCCCATTCCCAATTAATATTCCTTGTCCTCTAAGAAGAAAGCACTGTTCTGATATACTATTGATTGTTGGTTAGTTTAGTCTGCCCTTGAACTTTGTAGGAATGGAATCATCCAGTTCTCTCTGTGTCTGGCTTCCTTAGCTCACCATAATGTTCTGTATGTGTAGTTCGTCTACATCCTTTCCTATCAGTGCTTCACTCTTTTTTTTGATTGATGTATTTCATTTTACGAATATAATACAATTTATTTATCCATTCTCCTGTTGAGAAGCATGTGGCTCGTTTCCAGTTTTTAGCTATTATGAATACAGCTGCTCTGATCATTGTTGAGCACATGTTGTATAAGCCGTTGAGTACAGAGTGATGCAGGAAGTAGCAGGCGATGAGAATTAAGATATCAGTGAGGATCACTTTGTGAATCAACTTTTGTACCATGTTGATTGAACTCTTTGATAAGTGAGAGAGTGAGTGTGTGTTACGTTACTTACATTAACATGCATATTGTCACACAATCTTTTAGAAGTTTTCTACATTAAATTAAAACAGGAACAGTGCTTAAACTGCTGTAAATGTGAAATTTAAACTCCTTAAGACCGAAAGCTTTTTATTCTCTTGCTTTTTAAAAATTTAAATCTTCATTTTCAATAGAGAAAATATTATAACTTCCTATCGTGGAAATCACAAAGTATTCACATCTTGTACTGAGGAAAGAGGTTTACTTTTTGGAATAACATTATTGCTCTGTAACATTTTAGCTTAATATTGCTAAAACCTTCAAGTTAATTGTACTTTTCAGGTGTAAACAGTATCTTTACCCAAAAAGCAGGGGAAATTCTATTGATCAGTGCTTCCTCATTCTACATTTAAACTTATCAATTTTTTCAAAGTAAGATCATGTTCTTTTGTGTTCCTTTGTGAAATCCTATATGGACATTACCTAACAAAATATTTTAGCTAGATCTCAAGGTCATCCTTCTTATTTATCAGTAGTAACAACAATTAACATTTATCAAACACTACGGCAGGCACTATGCTAAGTGTTTTATTTATATTATCCTAATTAACCCTTATCATAACTCTAAATATGTAGGTTATCCCTACTTTAAAGATGTAATGATTGAGCCTTCAGGGAGATGATGAGATTGACCGAGATGACAAGGCTCATAGGTGGCAGCGGAGGCTTTTATACATAGTCTTCTTCGAGTCAGTCTTAGACCCTTAATCATTACACAAAAGCGTACTACAAAAGAGAAAGGTTTTGCTGTTTAAAGTAATCCTCTAGCTAAGATTCCTAGAGTTTATTGCTTTATGTTGCTGTTTCCTGCTTAAATTGTAATAGAAATAAAAATGTAGGTAAACTTCTGCAGTTCGGTACAGAAAAGCTACTTTTTTCCCCCCGTAGAATAATTCTTTATTGGAGAATATTTGCAATACATATAATTTCTTAATTAGTATCTTAACCATTTTAGGTAGCAAGTCATAATTAAGGACTATTGAATATTGATGGTAAATGCAGTTGTGAACCAAACCTTCAAACTTTTTTTTTTTTTAAAGGAAGTCCCTGTTTTTACGGAATTAAGCAGAGAAAATGATGAAGAAAAAGGTAGTTTTACTTTTCTTTCTTCCTTTTTTAATATGGATGCTTTTGTATTGGCTCTGCCAAAAACTAGCAACATGTTTGGGAGCAAGAGGTGTTATCTGTCTGGATTATTCTCCTCAGTAAAATGAAAAGGTGATAACAATGAATTGGATGGAATGCCTACAGCAACAAGTAACCAGACTGAGTAAAATGAGCCTAAACAATAAGGAAATACCTTGCCATACCAAGAGTCCCAGAGGTAGGATGGTTCCGGATGCCACACTATCAGTAGCTGGACACAAGGTGGCTGCCGGCAGTCCAGCCATCATATGCAGATCCAGTATTGTCCAGAAGAAGACAGAGAGCATCTCTGTCCTTTGGAGTCCCCTGTGAGCAAGGAAACTTTTCCTAGAAGACCTTCTTCCCACCAGCAGACTTCCTTTTGAATGTCATTGACCAGACTGTATCACATGTCCACCTCAAAAATAGTCACTTGGAAAGGGAGTGGAATTATTTTCATTGGTTTAGACCAAAGAGCCTTACTAATCACCTCCCATAGGTCCCACCCCCTAGTCCCATCACCTTGGGCATTAGGTTTTCAGCATTTGGATTTGGGAGGGGACACAAACCTTCAGACTGTAGCGTCCTCCAAGCCATACGTGAGTGGTATGGACCCCCAAACAAAATTGGATTCCTGTTACCAAGGGGAGAGGGGCAGTGGAGTGGGGAAGTGGCCAAGGCTGTCTGCTACATCATGTGATGGTCTTTCCCAGCTCTGTAAGCATCAGTCCAGTATATTTTACAGGAGTTTATGATCTCTGGGTAGGAGCATTCCAGCTCTCATGTATTCAAAATGTCCATGAATTTCTACATAGCTGCATTGTGATATTTATTATAATTTTCATTATAATTTTGTTTTATTATATCTGATGTTTTATTATAATTTTCCTGAAATATATATGGAATACCAATTCTTTTCTTCCAGTTACATTTAATTTGAATAAAGGAGCGTGTAGTTCAGGAGGAGCATCTTCCAAATCAAGGTGAGCTCTGTGAACAGGTATCTTAGAACCTGAAAATTTTGATGAAATGTTGATTACTACATTTTAAAAGGTGCAGAACTGTGAATTATTTTTTTCTGGTTTTTATTTTCATCTCTTTTTCCTTTTTGTTTAGTGATTGTTTTGTTTTGTTTATTTTCTTAGGAACTGGTTTTTTTCTTATTTGCCTATGATGAGCTGATTATATCTTTTAAGGAAAAGCTCATTTTCATTAAATGCTTCACATGGTAAACATTAGCTTCTCCCTGAAAGCTTCTCCACTTAAAGGTTCTTTCTGTGCTATGGCAATACTATTCAGTTTTCTGTCATAGCCCACTATCAAGTTTGTTAACTGGAGTACACACTTCTTGTTTTACCTGCTCTATTATGATCTTCTGAGAACAGAGACTAACTTATTCAACTATCTCCTTAGCACCTAGTAGAATATAAGTGCATTAGTAGACACTCAGTAATAATTGCCTTCCCTTCTAGATGGTGTGGTACTGAGCAAGACTTGACCAGCCTTTTCTATAAAGAGCCACATAGTAAATATTTTAGACTTTGTTGGCCATGTGTCTTTGTCATCACTTAACTCTGCTCTCAGAGCGAGGATGCAGCCATAGATGATACATAAGTGAATGAGCTTGGCTGTGTTCCAATAAAATCTTATTTATAAAAACAGGCAGCAGACTGGATCTGGCCCTCAACTGCAATTTTTCAAGCCCTGGTATGGCACATAGTCAGGTATTTATATCTACTTTTCATGTTCTCTTCTATTGCAGTTCTCATATATTCTTTCACCGAATATCTGTGCAGTACTTATGATGTGCAGTGCATTCAGTTTGGTTATGGAGGTGAAAAGATAAATCAGACAGGATATTCAGAAGGGCACTGTATATTCAGTATCTACTGGAATTTAGTTTTAAGCTGGGTGATTTGCTGTTTTACTTAATATTCCACATGGTGCTTATTTAACCTAACTCAGTTTTTTGTTGGTGGGAGTTTTTTTTCTTTTTGGTTTACAGGCTAGTGGTTATTTGCACGACTAAATAAGTGTCTAGGAGAATTGAAGGAGATGGGCAGTCTGAGTCAGCAGTGCCTAACTGCTTCAGGATGACTTGCCAACTGTCTTAACTTTGATCAAAGTGTTTCAGTAGTAACATCTATATTAGATATCATGAAGAAATTGGTTAATTGGGTTCTATATATGGTACATTTGAAAAGAAAATTTCTTTTCAAAATATTGCTGTGATATGACCAGAAAGACAGACTGCAGTATATCTTAACACATGCCATATAGTTTTGGACCCTTATGTGTTTCTGTTTTCCTTTATTATTTGTTATTCCTAAGTGTAGATGAATGCTGAGATTGGTCCCACTGGGCCCCAAATTGATCGCCCTTATGTTAGTTTTCTATGGCTGCTGTAACAAGTTACCACAAACTAGTTGGCTTGAAACAGCAGAAATTGATTCTGTCTCTGGAGGCCAGAGTTCTGAAATCAGTATCCTTGAGCCAAAATCAAGGTGTCTGCAGGCCTGTGCTCCCCCCAGAGTCTCTGGGGAGAATCTGTTACTCACCTCTTCTGGCTTCTGGTGGCTGCAGGCATTCCTGGGCTTTGGGTTGCATCCCTTCAGATTTATCTCTGCTCTATCTTCACATCACCTTCCCCTCTGTGTGTCATCCCCCTCTGCTTCCCTCTTTTTTTAGAAATTTATTTTTTAATTTTATTTTTATTTATTTATTTGGTTGGTTGGTTGGTTGTGTTGGGTCTTCGTTGCTGCGCGTGGGCTTTCTCTAGTTGTATCGAGCGGGGGCTACTCTTCGTTGCAGTGCGCGGTCTTCTCATTGCAGTGGCTTCTCTTGTTGCGAAGCTTGGGCTTTAGGCGCGTGGGGTTCAGTAGTTGTGGCTCGCGGGCTCTAGAGCACAGGCTCAGTAGTTGTGGCTCACGGGCTTATTTGCTCCACAGCGTGTGGGATCTTCCTGGACCAGGGATCGAACCCATGTCCCCTGCATTGGCAGGCGGATTCTTAACCACTGCACCACCAGGGAAGTCCCTGCTTCCCTCTTAAAGGATGCATGTGGTTGCAGTTAAAGCCCACCCAGATAATCCAGAATAATCTCATTTTAAAATCTTTAATTTAATCCCATTTGTAAAGACCCTTTTTCCAAATAAGGTGACATTTGTAGATTCCAAGGATGAGGACCTGATAGCTTTGGGGGTCTGCTATTCAACCTATTACATCCCTATGCCAAACTGTGATTTAGTAAAAACATTAGTTCTATTTGACCAAGTTCTGTGACTTCAGTCTCAACTGTCTATAATAATGTGAAAATAGTGTTGCAGATAATACAATGGAGAGACTATCTAAGTTTTCTTTTTCTGAAATTATGGTATATTTTTTTAGAGGTTGGGATTTATTTTCCTGTTGATTTATATCTCTTATATATTTAAAACCCAGAATTAACTAAGTTATCTAGATATCAAAAATGGATAATTTAGGCTGTGTGAGGCACAAAGATAAGCCCTGCTTCCCCATTGCTGGAACAAAGGTTACTCAGTTCTCACTTCTGTTTTTCCTTTGGGCTTCTCTGTCTCTTTTTGTTTTTTTAACATCTTTATTGAATATAATTGCTTTACAATGTTGTGTTGGTTTCTGCTGTATAACGAAGTGAATCAGCTGTATGTATACATATATCCCCATATCCCCTCCCTCTTGCACCTCCCTCCCACCTTCCCTATCCCACCCCTCTAGGTGGTCACAAAGCACCGAGCTGATCTCCCTGTGCTATGTGGCTGCTTCCCACTAGCTATGTATTTTACATTTGGCAGTATGTATATGTCCATGCCACTCTCTCACTTGGTCCCAGCTTACCCTTGCCCATCCCTGTGTCCTCAAGTCCATTCTCTACGTCTCTGTCTTTATTCCTGTCCTGCCCCTAGGTTTTTCAGAACCATTTTTTTTTAGATGACATATATATGTGTTAGCATACGGTGTTTCTTTTTCTCTTTCTGACCTACTTCACTCTGTAGGACAGACTCTAGGTCCATCTACCTCACTACAAATAACTCAGTTTCGTTTCTTTTTATGGCTGAGTAATATTCCATGGTATATATGTGCCACATCTTCTTTATCCATTCATCTGTCGATGGACACTTAGCATGCTTCCACATCCTGGCTATTGTAAATAGTGCTGCAATGAACATTGTGGTACATGACTCTTTTTGAATTATGGTTTTCTCAGGGTATATGCCCAGTAGTGGGATTGCTGGGTCATATGGTAGTTCTACTTTTAGTTTTTTAAGGAACCTACATACTGTTCTACATAGTGGCTGTATCAATTACATTCCCACCAACAGTGCAAGAGGGTTCCCATTTCTCCACATCCTCTCCAGCATTTATTGTTTATAGATTTTTTGATGATAGCCATTCTGACCGGTGTGAGGTGATACCTCACTGTAGTTTTGATTTGCATTTCTCTAATGATTAATGATGTTGAACATCCTTTCATGTGTTTGTTGGCAATCTGTATATCTTCTTTGGAGAAATGTCTATTTAGATCTTCTGCCCATTTTTGGATTGGGTTGGTTTTTTATTTTGATATTGAGCTGCATGAGCTGCTTGTATATTTTGGAGATTAATCCTTTGTCAGTTGCTGCACTTGCAAATATTTTCTCCCATTCTGAGAGTTGTCTTTTCATCTTGCTGTGCAAAAGCTTTTAAGTTTCATTAGGTCCCATTTGTTTATTTTTGTTTTTATTTCCATTTCTCTAGGAGGTGGGTCAAAAAGGATCTTGCTGTGATTTATGTGATTTATGATTTACGTAGAGTGTTCTGTGTATGTTTTCCTCTAAGAGTTTTATAGTGTCTGGCCTTACATTTAGGTCTTTAGTCCATTTTGAGTTTATTTTTGTGTATGGTGTTAGGGAGTGTTCTAATTTCATTCTTTTACATGTAGCTGTCCAGTTTTCCCAGCACCACTTATTAAAGAGACTGTCTTTTCTCTATTGTATATTCCTGCCTCCTTTATCAAAGGTAAGGTGACCATATGTGTGTGGGTTTATCTCTGGGCTTTCTATCCTGTTCCATTGATCTATACTTCTGCTTCTGTGCCAGTACCATACTGCCTTGATTACTGTAGCTTTGTAGTATAGTCTGAAGTCAGGGAGCCTGATTCCTCCAGCTCCATTTTTCTTTCCCAAGATTTCTCTGGCTATTCGGGGTCTTTTGTGTTTCCATACAAATTGTGAAATTTTTTGTTCTAGTTCTGGGAAAATGGCATTGGTAGTTTGATAGGGATTGCATTGAATCTGTAGATTGTTTTGGGTAGTATAGTCATTTTCCCAATGTTGATTCTTCCAGTCCAAGAACATGGTATATCTCTCCATCTGTTTGTATCATCTTTAATTTCTTTCACCAGTGTCTTATAGTTTTCTGCATACAGGTCTTTTGCCTCCTTAGGTAGGTTTATTCCTAGGTATTTTATTCTTTTTGTTGCAATGGTAAATGGGAGTGTTTCTGTAATTTCTCTTTCAGATTTTTCATCATTAGTGTATAGGAATGCAAGGGATTGCTGTGCATTAATTTTGTATCCTGCTCCTTTACCAAATTCATTGATTAGCTCTAGTAGTTTTCTGGTAGCATCTTTAGGATTCTCTGTGTATAGTATTATGTCATCTGCAAACAGTGACAGTTTTACTTCTTCTTTTCTGATTTGGATTCCTTTTATTTCTTTTTCTTCTCTGATTGCTGTGGCTAAAACTTCCAAAACTAAGTTGAATAGTAGCAGTGAGAGTGGGCAACCTTGTCTTGTTCCTGATCTTAGAGGAAATGGTTTCAGTTTTTCACCATTGAGAATGATGTTGGCTATGGGTTTGTCATATATGGCCTTTATTATGTTGAGGTAAGTTCCCTCTATGCCTACTTTCTGGAGAGTTTTGATCATAAATGGGTGTTGAATTTTGTCAAAAGCTTTTTCTGCATCTATTGAGATGATCATATG